TGTATAAGGCAGCTTTACTTAGAACAGCTTACATCCTGCAACCATATCTTTAACACCATCAAATATCCACACCCAAGTCCTTGGAAAGGACTCAATAAGTGGATAAACATTTGGTTGACTGTGCAACAAATTATAAAATTCTTAGATACTTCCTTAACACTTTTGAGGTCCTTGGTTCATGCTTGAATTATTACATTTCTGCCATTTTTAGACTGAATGTAACTGTAACTCACATAATACATCCCTAAAGTATTTTCTGATAATCATTTATCACCACAGGATGCTTTCAAAATATGCACACCATCTCAAAAACAGACATTCCAGTTATAGATATTCTTTCTTGGCCCTGCCACTGAAAGAACAAGAAAGGGTAATTTTCTTTTAGCCAGGGCCACACTTCTCACTTCCTTGGCCTTCGTCTATAAAGGGTTTAACATGATGTCAATGAAATAACTGATATGGACACAGCTAAAACTTTAGAGTCTCTGACATCCTTGAATTGTGTTAATGAACAAAATGGTTGCTTTAGACATGGAGTCTATGGCCATGATGGCGAACGTATGGCATGTGAGCCAGGGGCAAACTCAGCTCCACTGCGCATGTGTGCGTGCCTCCTGCTGGCGAGCTGATTTTTTGGTCTCTGCCATGCATATGTGGGGGAAAGGTGCATGCTGGAGATGCACACACATGCATGGGGGGGTCACACACACATTCGTGGGGTTGGGGAAGTGGGGGTGCACCCCCGTGGCCCATTTTTGGTTCCAGGAGGTTGCAGGGAGGCCTCTAGGTCCAAAATGAGGTCTGTGGGGGAGGTCATGCATGCCTGTGCTGGGCAGGCAGGGGGCATGCCGGGGGTGTCACTGTTGCACATGCGCATGCTTTTAGTACGTGACAACAAAAAGGTTAGCCATCACTGGTCTAGGGTATCCATTCATACCTTTAATTCTTTCAATGGGAAAAATGATCCAGTTGAAGAATCATTGATTTTTAAAGAGGTGAAAAGCATTTAAAGTATTTTTTCTCGAAAAAATAGTTATTTGGGATAACTTTGAGATGCCCCTACATATAACATATTCAAAATTGTGCCAGAAAATTTTATGGCCATTTCTTTGGTTCCCTTTATTAAAAAATAGTTTTGGGTCTTTCAATTAATCAATAAAGTATTGTTATACTGAAAAAAACAAAATAGTGAAATATAACACAGGATGAGATGTTAAATTTGAAAATTAAGCAAGAAGCTATTTATCTAAATAAAAATTTAAAACTCCAGGTTAACATATAACATTCAGTTATGGACTCTCTTGATAATTTTTCATATATGAAAAATGTTCACAGAGGGAATAATATATTTCTTACCTGTCCACACTTAGGGCACAGAGATTAAGAACAGTGACCCCTACAGATCCCTTCTGAATAAAAGGAATAACATGGCAAAGAAAGTGTTCAAAAGGTGTCTTCCCAAATTTTTGTGGAAATTGAAGCTAATGGACAGAAAAAAGAAGAGACAATTAAAATGTACATATAGAAAACATGAGCACACAATGGAATCAAGGAAGGTTTGAGTTATATGCAGTATTCTTTGTACATTACTATTATGAGTAGTGTGAGTCAAATGATTGACAGAATAAAATATTTTACATATTTTAGGAAGGACACATTTATTTTCTACAAAAAAAATATGCAATGGATTTTAAGCAATCTAGCATTAAAGTAAAGGTTCCCCTTGTGCATATGTGCTAGTCGTTCCCAACTCTAGGGGACGGTGCTCATCTCCACTTCAAAGCCGAAGTGCCAGCACTGTCCGAAGACGTCTCCGTGGTCATGTGGCTGGCACAACTAAACACAGAAGGCACACAGAATGCTATTACCTTCCAACCAAAAGTGG